AGCAACCTCAGAAAGATCCATAGCCACTCTCAGGGACAGAACTGCGAAGAGACATACCCCACACCCACCAGAGAGATACAGGCAGAAAACTTTTGCTTAAAACAAACATTTTCTCATTCAGTTTCAGCACCAGCTTTCTGAATTCCTTAGAATAAAACTCCAAGTAACCCTGACCTCTGCAATATTTTGATAGTACGACATGAATTATTAGTGTAATTTTCAGTACTCTGTGTTAGTCTTCAAGCTCTGATAATGACAGTAGTAAGAAGAAAAGTTAATATTGATGCAGTGTCTTTTACATGGCAAGCACTATGCTAAGCCCTTTACATAGACTTATGCAGTAAGAACAATTATTGACATCAGCATTTTGCCGAAAAGGACACAGGCACAGAGCTTAAGAATTTGTGAGTGGCAGAGCTGGGGCTTCAGTGGTCTGGATCTATAGTGGTTCCTGGGATGCTGGTAGTCACAAGGCACATTCAATGCAGAAAGAAGAAACACACTTACCCTTTCCAAAGGTGGAAGGCAGCCCATGTTCTGTGGCTTTGTGAAAAACAATGTTAAGCACCTTGATTTTCATTTGCTTTCTCTTAATATATGAACATATATAATGAATATGTAAATTTTTAGAAAATTCTGCTTTATTAGTGTCTTCAGAGGTATGATCAAAAATACAGTGAGTGTTACTTTTAAGGGCCATCCAGTTAAAAGGAAGGCTGTCAAAATACCATGGTGTGTCTTCTTCCACCTTCTTTGCCAGATCTCGCACCATGTCTCTTCTGGCTCTTCCGCAAAGTCAGAATGATCGAGAAAGGTAAACCCATTTTGAATCGACTCAAGACATCAAGGCAGCTACCACAGTGCAATTAGATACTCACGAAAGAGAATTTCCAGAACTGCTTCAGAAAGTGGCAAGTACAATGGGATACATGTGTTCAAAGAAAGGGGGAGTATTTTCAGGGTTTACAACAGTGTGTCCTTTACTCCAAAGACTTTCTAAATGTAAGCATTCACTGTGCTTTTGAATCGTCCCTTTTATGCAGACAAGTGTATGTGTTCAGAAACCTGAGCAGATTGGAAAGTTTAGGACACAGTGGAATGCTGTTACTTTAGTCTTCGATTGTACGGAGAATATTTAGGGCAGACTTACACTTCATCATGAGGAATAGAAACATTTCACTCCCTATATATACTTAGCTAGACCTGGGATTCTTCTGCTTACTCCAAAGGACAAATAGGATAGTCACCTCTGTACAGCAGAGAGTTCTGGGAAACATTTTTGCTAGTGTCCTGGCAAGAGAACATAGCAAGAAACAAAGTTTTGTGCTGAGATCTGGCATCTTGCCACTCTCTAGTTAACATAAGATTAATATTTTTCTTTTCTACATGTAAAGTAGTTTTCTGAGGAATCATAAATTTTTAAACCAGTCACTGTCTGATTTCTGACTTTAAAAAAATTCAAATTATTGGCTTCAGCTAACATGTTTAAACTCTGCCCCGCTTTGTACTTACTTAGAACATTTCAAACTTCAGAGCCCTTCTGTGAATTAATCATGTGCGGAGTATATGCATTTGGAATTTAACTATAAATATAAATGAAATGGCTCCAGCTATGACTAGGTTCAAAAACTACAGTGATTTGGAGTTTTCAGTAAAAAAAAAAAGAGATAGAAATTTTAAAGAAGAAAAAATTTGAGAGGAGAGGTTAAATATAATAGAGATTTTTGCATTAAAATGTTGGTCTTGTGCTGTGTATCTGCTTTATTCCTAAAACTGAAAATCAGCTTCTAAGCTCAATTGTCAAAGTGAGAAGACTCAAATAGTGTTTACCAGATTCCAGAATATCTTTCTCACCTGATTGCCAGACAACTGAAAGGCAGCTGGGGACAGTAATTAACAAGAGGGTGACCACAGCATGGGTCTTACAGTCACAGACCAGTACCAGCCAGACTAAAGGTGCACCCAGCCAGAGAGCTGAGAAGATAAGAAGACAAGGAAGGACAGAGATGAGTGAGCAGTGCCTGCTTCTCCAAAGGCAGATGAGCGATTCCTAGTGAGCGTGAGTTTCTTCTCTAAGGTGTTTTAAGACAATGTTTTAAGGCAAAATATGGTGATGGGATGTACAGCCTATGAATATAGCAAAAACTTTAGATGTGTAGTATAGCATACAAATTATAAATAAGTGACACTGTTATATAAAAGGGTACCAAGGAAAATTGTTTCCAAGCAGTGTGCTTCCTAAGCAATAAGCAATCCAAGTGAATCAAGTGAATGATGGCTTTTGCAGAGTACCAGGTTCATGCTATGGTGTCACTGGGTCCGCTCCAAATCTGAACTTACTTCTTTCCTGTTTGGAGTCCACAGGATGGAGCCCAGGCTCGCAGGCTCCAGGTTTCCCTCCCAACTTCCCAAGCACACTACTGGGAAACGATTTTCTTTTGTAACCCTTTATATAACAGTGTTACTTAGATATAATTTATATGCTACATATACTTAAAGTACACAGCTAGTTTTTGCTATATTCATAGGCTGTACATTCCATCACCATATTTAGTCTTAAAACATTGTTTTAAAACACCTCAAAGAAGAAATCCCACACTCACTAGCAATCGCTCACTTAGTCTCTTCCCCCAGCCGCTCATCTCCTTTCTGTCTTTATAGACTTACCTATTCTGGATATTTCACATTGTATGGTCTTTTGTGATTTTTTTTTTTCTTTCACTTAGCCTATTGTGTTTAAGGCTCATGCATTTTGTCATAAATATCAGTACTTTATCCTTCTAAGTGATCAAATAGTTCTCTTTATGCATATAACACATGTTACTTTTTTATTCCTCCACTGATAGATATTTGGGTTGTTTCCATTCTTTGGCTATTATGAATAGTACTACTATACTCACTCAAGCACAAGGTTTTATGCTGACACTGGCTTTCACTTCTCCGCTATATGTTTTTAAAAGTGATACTGCTGGACCATACGTTAAATCTATGCTTAGCATTTTGAGAAACCGTCAGGCTCCTGCACCATTTTCCTCTTTCTCTTCATGCCTGATGAACTCTCTGATGTGTGAGCTTTGAGGACAGGAACCAGAGGAAGGAATTACAACTCATTCAGTCTTCACTGCTTGGTGACCCCAGGCAGGAGTTAAGTATTATTGGGATGACGTTGCACAGCAAACCAGAAACCTGGCCTTCAGTGACTAATATTTATTCCTCACTCATAGGTCTGTAGGTCAGCTGCTAGGCTTGGCTACGAATGGGAAAGTAGAGTCATGTATGTCAGAGTCATCCAGGGGCCAGTGGCTACCCAAGCTGCATTCTCATCAGGGCAGAGGCAGCAGAGACCATGGAAGACTCCAAACATTTCCTGGCCAGAGGAAGTCACCCAGCTCAGCCCAAAGTCAATGGCATGGGAAATTTGGTTCAACCAATCTTTCTGGAAAGTTCTACAGTGGTTACATAACTTTATTACAAAGATGGAGTAAATAATTGGGAAGAACGCTCTTTCTTAGAATTTATAGCATTCTAAAACTAAGCTTTTCTAAATAAATTGTAAGCAAGAAAATTACAAAGATGAGATCATTGCTTTTTTATTAAAAATATGAGAAAGTCATAGCAACCTAAAAGGCATTCTTGGAGGTATGGTTTTCTGAAAATATAAATATATTTATAATAGACCATTGTCTATAATAGACCATTGATTTTATATACTCTATCTTAATGTTTACTAAGTCTTCAAATGCCTAGTTACTTCATCAAAAGAGAAAATTGGAGGGTTGAGAGAGATTTAGGACATCTCATCTATAGACTGTACAAAAGTGCAGACAGCAGCCCTAGTTCCCATAGCTATTTTCACTTCCTAGGATTACATGCTCCTTTGCAGTCACCTGGGGTAGTTCTTATACTAATTACTGGGTTCCATTTGCTTGAGATAACCTTTGAAGTAGATGTTATTTTCATTCCAATAGATGAGGTGTGAATCATGTGGTAAATGTTTAAATTAAAAATATTTATTGCAGTAAGAGTCCCATCGCCACAAATCCCCTCGCAGTATTCCCCTTCACTTCAAACACTTATCCCACAGTTCTCGCACTTTCTGAAGCAGGTTGGTCGAGAAGCCCTCTTTTGGGAATGCCTTTAGATAAAAATGCAGTACATGTAATTGGCCAGTGCCATCCACTGAAAGGCAAGCTCAGAGAAATCTTAGTGTCCTCATCCAGTTTATTCACCGTATCTGTCACTCTGTGACCTCTGACTCTTCCCCACAGTCAACGTGGCCATGAAAAATAAATACTTTGAAATATTCAGAACATCAAAGTAGCCACCACAGAACAACTAAAGACAGTCATGAAAGAAGACTTTCAGAACTGTTTCAGAAAGTGGGCTAAGTGCGAAGGGAGACTACTGTGAGGGGGAATTCCTGGTGCTGGGTCTTTGACTATATTTTTTTAGTTAAATGTTCATTGTGCATTTTAATCTTGCCTCATACAAACAAGGAAGCTGGTTTTTATGGATATGTAGGCCAAAATCACAACTACCACATGACAGGTGTGAGACAACCTCGCACCAAAAAGTCCACATGATCAATTGCAATCACAGATGATCTGATAGAAAAATTCCTGCTTCTGAATCTGCAGCCTTAACATCAACCCCCCTCCTGTTATTCATGCATCCTACATTGTCTCTATGTCTGAGTAAGTAGAACACTCTTCTCTCAGACTTGCTTACACTTTCAATTTCTAACTACCAGATTATTTTATAGCAATTATTATAAGAGAAAACTTTAGCCATCCTATGAATTAGCTTAGGCTCTAATTTGGTTGGAGTTAACTATTGCCTATTGTAATTTTCCACAGACTTATTTATCTAAGCGTTTCTAGCTTGTCACGCCCTAAATTAAACTCCGATGATACCACATAGGAAGGAAGAACTGGTTTACTTTCGTTTCCACTTTGGTTTCTCTTCCCAAATTAAGTGTTTTATTCATGTTTTTATATCAGATGAGCCACAGTGAGCAAATGAGATAACTTGAAGTTACCTGGATAGGTAACGGAGAGGTGGAAAAGACGGAAGAGAACAGAAGTAAAGGTGCTGTGAAAAGTGATCCGAGAACTAATTTATAGAAGATGAGTGTGGAATCTGGGGCATCATGAAAACATACTTTATCAGAAAGTGTGAAAGACCAAAACTGGGACTTCCGGGAGAACATGGCGGACAGATAACAGCAACTACCAGAGGCTCTCTGAAAGACTCGGCTCAGAAGCCATGAATGGTGCAGACTAAGGAGACATAAGCAGGTGGAGATATGCTCTGCTGACTCAGGAACGAACTGGGCTGAGAGAAACCAACTTGGAATGCAGTCCTGGTGCTAAAACAGGAACAGAAAAGCCTCGGTGTGGAGGCTGGACCCCGCACCATTGTAAGCCACGATTTGGGTTTCCCGCCGTGCGGCGGCTGGCTGCCTCTACAGTGGCTCGGCAAGGAGAGACGTGCAGAAGCTCTGAGAACGGCAATCTGCGAACGGCAGGGAGGCGTGCACTGACTTGTGGTGAGGTGAGTGAGAGAAACTGACTTTCTACCACAGTTCGACTCCAGCAGAGGACTTTCTGGGCCCGAGCAGTCCTGCGGGAGCAGGGCGCGGTGGCGACTCCAGCCACACATCCCCCTCTCGGGCGGGATTGGTGAAAAGAGCCTGGCCTGCGTGACGCTGCCGGCGGACCTGGTAGGCTGTCCCAACCCAGATCCCAGAGCCTGACGGTGGCCGGGAGGGGAGACGCGTAGGCTGCCTGGTCCGTAACTCCCTGGTGCACAGCAGTGAGCAGGAACACCTAACTGGCGCAATTTGATCAGGCTGTGGCTGACTGGGAGAGAAGCTGGGCCTCATATAAGCTTGCATATATAAGGAACAGAGAAGAAGAAGCAGCATGGGAAGAGGCAGCAACAAGAAAGGCTCCTCAGCCCCCAATTCTGAGAAACAGGCAATAGCAGACACCGCAGCAATACACATAAGGCACCATATAGAGAGCCTCATAGACCAATTCAGGAATGAAGTTATCAACGACCTGAAGCTAGAAGTATGCAGAATAGTTAGAGAAATGCTAAGTATCACCCAAGAAAAAACAGGTGGTGGAATGGAAGAACAGAAAAAAAGGGGAGAATTGTTTGATGGAGAAAACAGAGAAAGCATAGAATACGTGAAGCAGGTTCAAAGGGACTACCAAGATACTAAGAAGTCTATCGAAGACTGGCATAACAGCTTGAAAGAAACTAAGGACAGACTATCTGAACTGGAGGGCAGACTTGTAATATGGGAGAATGAAATGAAAAACTTCTTAAAAATAACAAAGAAACAAACAGCAATAATACAAAGACAAGAAGATGATAAGAGGATCCATAACTTAAGGATTAAGAACATAAAAGAAGAAGTAGGGACACAAACAAGTGAACTACAAAAGCTACTCACAGAAATAATCCAGGAGAATTTTCCTAATTTAGCAAAAGGTAAAGATACTCAGATGTATGAGGCATACAGGACCCCAGCTACCTACAACCCAAACAGAGCAACACCCAGGCATATAATAATAAAAATTCCAGAAATTCAATACAAGAACAGAATATTAAAAGCTGTCAGAGACAAGAAACAGACCACTTACAAGGGAACACCCATCAGAATTACAGCAGATTTCTCTGCACAAACCATCAAATCACGAAGAGCGTGGGGGGAAATAATTCAAGCTTTGAAAGATAATAATCTCCAGCCAAGATTGAGATATCCTGCACAACTGTCCCTGGAAATTGATGGAAAAACAAGGTGCTTCCAGGATAAAGAGGAACTGGGGGAATTTGCAACCACCAATTCAACTCTACAGAGAGTATTGCAGGATATTCTAAAAAAAGAAAAATACAAAGAATCCAGAAATAGTGGCAGAGAGGCCACAACGAATGGAGCAGAGAACAAAATGAAGAAGACAAACTGACAGTTACTGACAGAAAAAGAGCTCAACAGAAATGAGGCAGAGAAGATTGGATGACAGGAACAGCTATTTTGGAGAAAATGACATCTTAATAGGTAATACTGATTTAGTATCATCTTGTTTTGAAGTCTCATCTAGCTTTTGTCCTTCTGTCTCCAATGGTCTAAATAGGCTGTATCTTATTGGATTTTATTATGTACGATAGTATAAGCAAAAACCTTTTAAAGACAAGGAGACTATACAGAAACCATTGTTCATTTTCTGTTAGTCGATTCTAAATACTCTGTAATGCTGTCATTCTCTTGAATGGTTTTACATTGTTTTGATATACTTAATGCTACAGTATACGAAGTTGTACTCAAGGATTTCAAAGAAAGAGACAATATGGTAACTACTTTTAGGTTAGGATTATCTGGTGGTGAAACACTATTCTGCTTAAATGGTTATGTTTTGATCTGCGCTGTTTCATTGTCATGCCCTCTTTTATCTCAATCTCCACTCCATTATTTACTTTTTTATCTTTATCCTTTTAATTAAAGGAAAAAAATAGCAGGATATATTATAGTAACCCACTTTGACTTTTCATTACCTTGATTTAAAGCCCTGTATTACTCTCACCATCTGGTTTTTAACTGATGTTCCCCTATTCTGTTTTGCTGGATAGTATCAGGTTCGAAAGTTTAGGCATCAGCTGTGAAGATAATGAGATTCATTATGACGCCCATTCTTGTTGACTTTTATCTACTTTTGAAGACCTACAATGTCTCCAATGTTTTGGTTTTGTCGGTTTTATTCTTTACTGTTTTGTTCAATTGTATTATAACTAACGATATAGGCAATTCTATTAGAGATAGCGGGAGGCATTATGGTAACCATTGTTGATCACCTTGTATTATGTTTTTACATTATCTATTATGTCCACCCTTTTGACTTGACCGATTCTGTTCTGTTATGTCACATTTGGTTTTACTCTCTTCCAAAAAAGTAATAAGAACCGTGGGAGCAATGAAACCCAAAATGTGTAATAGTCATGGTACAAAAGAGAGGAAAAGAAAGTGCTCCAAACTATATAACTGCATGTATATTTAAGTGTATAAGATAGAAAATGATATCACAGAGTTTAATTGGATCAATGAACAGAACTGTTTGCAGTATCATTGATGGAATGTCCACTTTACAAGCTTTAATTTTGTGACTTGAACAATTATTTCTAAGATGACAATATGTAATCCATTAACTAGTGATTTCCTACTGTTCATTTTTTTTCTGTAAATCTGTATAACTTGTACCCTTTTCCTGCTTTTTTTTTCTTTTCTCCTTAAATAAAATTAAAAAAAAAAAAAAAAAAAAGAAAGACCAAAACTGACTCATGTGACTGACGAGACTGGGCATCTGGTGGAGGTGAGAGCTAATGTATCGGATCTACCTCCTTAAGGGACCACCTGAAACTTGAGGTATTGAAGCATAGACGTCATCATGTCTGGCTGTCCACTGGTTGTCATGTTGTCATTCTGTATTTAAGGAAATTTTCTCAATATCAGAATTGAAGCAGTAATAAATGTCCCACACACTCCCCCGCTCTTCCTAAAGATAAACACAGCTCCCTCAAATGGGCTACCATGCTTCACGTGTTCCTGAGAGAGGAGTGCTTGCTTCAGCCCAGAGACAGCTGTTCTGGGAGAGCGTTCATAAACTGTGTGCAAGCGGCTTGACAAGTTGACAAAACACTGACAAAAAACAATTACTCAAGAAGCAGCTCTTGGAAGGGTGGTTTGTTGTTTAGAAGACACCAACGAAACCGAGAAAAAAAATATGTTAGGTACTATTTTTGCCATTGTACGAAAAAGATTATTTCCCAGAATGCATCTAACACTGTGAGAAAAATGTCAATAAATGAAATGGCACACTATCATCCACTAAGTTCTTATGCTTTATTTGTGAAATACACTTAATTAGTGGACTGATTATACCCTTCCAGTTAACAAAATGCAGAAGTTATTTTAAGATGTCTATATAGCAAGTACTTAGAATACACAAAATATTTTGAAGTATTTAAACTATCACATGTATCTCATCAGCCTGAATAATCACTATATTTTCAGTGAGGAGGCATGATCTGCATATTCTATTTCTTTTGAGAATAATAAGTCTTCTTATTTGGAAAATAGAGAGAAATCAACATTTTAACATCTCTTCACTATAAATAATATTAATGATGATTATGATAGTAAATATCACTTAGGTCTTATTTTTATGCCAATTACCCATACTAAATATTTCACTTACACTATTCTAATGTATTCTTGATACTTGTCTCTGAGAAAGGAAGTGTTGTCAGCCTTGCATTGTAGATGAGCAACCTGAATTTTGGAGTAAATTACATTTTCAAGATCATACAGCTGATACTTACTAGAGCTACAATTTAAATTTAGGTATACGATGCTGTGGGCACTACAGTTGGCATGTATGAGGAGACTATGAGGTTTAAGAAAAGGTACCCCTTCATCAAAATACTCTCATCTTCCTCTGCTAAGAAATTACTGTAATAAACTGGCTGTGTAGACCAAGAAAGCTTACTGCCATATACCACAAAATTGTAATATGTGAACAGATCTGCAGTATCTGTGCCATGAAAAATACCTCATAGGGGTGGCTTGGTCAGGCACCATCTCCAGACATCCAGATACTTAACCAATTTTGCCATTCGGATTCAGACAGGAAGCAATTTTCATTATGTACAAAAGCAAATTAATTAATTAATTTTAAAATGTTCTGTAGCTACCTTCTTCCAGTTTTTCCAAAGATAAGCTTAGGTGAAGCATGGCATTTCTTGACATCAATTATGTTTCTGTTTATTCAGCATCTACCTGCTGATCATTACAGAAAGTTAACATTTACCCATATGAAGAGCAGAAAGTCAGAGGCAACCTCTGCCTTTCAGGACCTCACAGTCTAAGTAGGGGAATAAATAAAGGCACAGGATTATGGTAAAGTTTCATGGATTTCCTTTCTAGAGTCCCCTGTGGGTGACTGATCATGGCCCTCTGTAGGCGAGCCATTGACACTGAGGAAAGTCAGACCCCAAACCTGACTCCATGGCAATGAAGTCCCAGTGGATTCCTATTAGTTTAGTAGTACTATCATTTCATTGTTAATGATTTTGTCGGATTTTCTTTATATAGATATAGATATAGATATAGATAGATATAGAGAGATAGATAGATAGATAGATAGATAGATAGATAGATAGATAGATAGAATTTATCTCCATCTGGTATTTTATCATCTTGTCCACTGATCCCTTAATGTACCAAATTAATTTCCTTTTCTTTTTTATTTTTTCCTCAGAACTTGGTTTCTGTCTGTTTACTCATCATGTTCCCATCCTTTCTTTCTCCTCTCTAAGCTTTCTTTCCTTTTGGCATATCCTCACAGCTACTGTGCAGTTCATTGTCATATTCACCATCCTGGCTTGATGCTGATGGCGTGACCTCATCTTTCTCCCTGTGATGTCTCAGAGTGCTTTGGTTTTACTCTCTGAGTCATTTACTTTTGCAAGGCTTCTTGCACTATAGAAGATGAGACTAAGTCAAGTTGTGTTCCAACTCTCATTTGATTTCAGGATTGTCTATTTCCTTCCTTGCCCGCTGATTCTTAAGCTTCCATTGTCCTGGATCAGGTTCCTTCACTTCTTTGGCTGTTCATGGTAATTATTCTTGCACCATTTTGTTTTCTTGGTTAATGGTCTTATATATTGAGGCCTCTGCTGATCAGATGCTCAGATACCAACTTCTGTTTCCCATAGCCACCAAATGGCCTCCCTGTTTCTTTGTCTTAAAATAGCATCCATTCACCAGAGAAATACCACCTTCATCTCTTCCATCTCCCAATCCTGTATCCAAACCCTGGAGCTGTTCCCCATCTGTTCCATCTTCTCAGCTACATTCTTCTCCTCCTTGTAGTTCTCAAGTTCCTACCATTATTTAGACTGGTATTTTCATCATGAGCTAGAACACACACACACACACACACACACACACACACACACTTCAAGGATGTCATGTGGGCTGTCCTGTTTGTTAACTGCCTTATTCTGAGAGCTAAACAGACTCTACCTTCCAGGCGTATGGTGCGATGTTAGTTTAATTTATTGGGTCATGAAAACAAGAAGTCTGAGCGTAAACTGCAAGTGACTTAATTAAATGAAAACCAAAGTGGCATCTAGAAATCATTGTTGAATTTTAACTGAAAATGACAATGTTTCCTATTGTAGACCAGTTCAAAATATCAATCTTGCATAAGATACCAGATAAAAGAGAAGTGGTTCTTTAGGACCTCTTTAACTTACACTCTGCTATTTCCAGAGGGAAATTTGGAACAAAACTATGTGAGCTTGACTTTGCATCTGTCAGTTACCTGCTGCAAGACCTGAGCCAAGTTACCTCACTTCACTACATGCCAGCTTCCTTATACAGTAAAACCTTGGTCTTCGAGCATAATTCATCCCAAAGCATGCCTCTAAATTAAGGTATTTCTATGTCAAAGTAATTTCATCATAAGAAATGATAGAAACTCAGTTGCTTCATTCCACAACCCAAAAATATTCATGTAAAATTATTCCAGTGCTACAGTGTAATACAAAGTAACAAGGAAAATATGCAACATGAAGAAAAATAAAATAACCTGCATTTACCTTTTAAAACCTTCATGGCTAATGTCAGGGAGACAAGAGAGAAAAGGGTCACTATGTAGGACAAATTTCAGTCTCTCTAAGGAAATCACTGCTGTCTATTGGCTCAATGGAATCTTTTCCTTTTTGTGCAACTTTAACAAGGAACCTACAAAATGGCACTTGGTTTTTCCTCCTTTTGAGGATTTCATGAAAATGTGACATAGCATTTCCATCATCAAACAAATTCATTCATCATTTGCACTGCTGTAACCTTATTGTGTGGTGATATTCTACAAAATTTTGTGTTTCTTCTCACATTTTATACATCTTCTTAATCTCACTACAAATGAAGGGTTCTTCTTCTTTTTCTCCTCTGCAGAGGAGATACTCTCCATACCCTCTTGCTGTTGGGAGAAGATCACTCACACTCCTGCAGAAAGGTGGGGGCAGACAGAGAGCTCATTGGCATCATGAAATGTTCAGCATCACGGACTACCCATACTGCCAAGACATCACTTACTTATCTGGCTAAAATTTATTGGAAATCTGTGTTTATCTTGCAGAACACTTGCAGAACAAATCACCCACATTCCAAGGTATTCCTGTTTTTTGGAGAGAACAGCAATACTCACTTCTGTTGCGAGGATTAGATTACATAACAGGTAGCAAGTAGCTTAAATATTGCCTATATTAGTCAGTTTTCCATCACTACAAAAAATACTCAAGACAATTAATTTAGAGAATTTTTACTTTTGCTCAAGATTTCAGAGGTTTCTGTGATCAGTTGGCATCAATGCTCTCAGGGCTGTGGTGAGGAAGTGTATCACAGCGGGTGTGTGTGGTGGGACACAGGCACTCTCGTAATGAGATAGGAAACAAGAGGAAGAGGGGCAAAGGAAGAATGCCTTCTCTCTCATTTCTGCAGCAAAATAACCAACATTCAGAATGAAGGGAAGGAAGAATTATTTAGCTCTCTGTTTGTGGAAGTTTCATTCTTGATCAGCTGGCTCCAAGGCAGAACCGCATGGCACCATGCCACACTTGAAGTTAGCAGCCAGCAAAAGCAGCCAGAGCAAAAAGGGAAGAACAAGCCTCTTCTCCTGCCTTATACTGTAAACAGGCTACACCCCACCATAGTGGATGTAGCACTCACACCACCTCTGTGCTCTCCTCTTGCACATAGGCTGAAGATGTTTACAAAATAAGGCTCTTAACTAAATTTCCAAACTTCTTAAATTGATGCAATATATCAACCATAACACTGAGGTCTCAGAATCCCCTCCAGGGGCATAACCCCAGTGGCCTAAAGACCTCTCTATCTCCTAAAGGTTCTGCCACCTTTCAATAGCACTATGCAGTGTCCTATGCTTTTAATATATAGCCCTTTGGGGCACATTCGAGATCCAAAACAATAGCAGTACCTCTCTGGTAGTAAATGATCAGAAAAAAAATGTTAACTGCTACTATTACTTTCACTTCATAGATCTAAAAAACCATAAGAAGGAGGGAAAGAACAACTTATAGGCCTTGTTTTCTACTTGTGACTTATTCTTCCTTTGAAAACTGCTCAGACTATCACTGAAGGCTCTCTAATAGCCAAGCACATGTGGGAAATCCCTCTATTTCAGTAACCATCCATACGTCATAGCCATTTGAAGACTTTCTATTACTGCTCTTATCAGTCTACATCACAGTTATCAAATTTTCCTGCATGAGACTGTTAGTTCATCTGTTTGCTCATCCTGTAAATATTATTTTGAATACTCACAGGATGAAATACTTTTTCTCTTCTCTCTTTCAGGACATATGGATCCTAAGACACTCAATGATTGATTACATGAGTAGATACTAACATTCTAATTGATGAAGAACCACAGAGGAGAAATCCAAGGTGCTATAGAAATTCATGAAACAGAAAAGGCACAGGCTAACAGATGTTTAACATGCAATGAATGGGGAACCAGTGGATGAATGAAAATTTAGGGATCAGCCAGCCAACCAAATGAGAATATTGTGAAGTCGCTAGGAAGTAGATAGACAACAAGGCTGTTTGTCCTCTTTGTCCTCTGCTGGTGCTTTGCATACCTTTGTCTCTTGAAGAGGCGCTGCTACTTCCTTATCTCTTAATCTCTTGCTCTTAGGAGATTGCTGGGTACACTGGTAACAAATTTGCAGAAGGTGTGAACTTCGGGTGAACCATGGGCTTTATTTACATCCTTCAAAAATTAAAATAGTTCCTTTAGTTCCAGCTTCCTCTGCACTTATTTTCTCTCATCATAATTATAATCCCTTCCTCATTAAAGATGTGTTGTTGCTAGTTTGCTGTTTACAGTGTTACACCTATCTTTAGGTTTCATTTCATAGCTCTCACCAAGGCCAAAGTATACCCTTGAAAAATTTCTATAGTCTCAATTTAGCATAATTAGCTTTAAATTATTTCACATGGTAACAGAAATTTGGGAGCCCCTTTTTTTCTGCCAGACGGCACTGGAAACATTTTGCTTAGAATTAATTCTACCTAGAATTATTCTGTGGAAGAAATATAAAGCAAAGCAAGGATTATAATTCTTATTTAGTTTGCTTTCCTCTTTTAGTAAATGTTATCAACTTTATTGAAGCTCTCAATCTCTGCTTTGAAACTTTATTCCTAAATGAAAGGATCTGAGCCAGAGTTTACCTTGCTTGCTTTGTATTAAAAACAGAAAAAAGAAAGAAAAGAAAAGAAACAGTGAGGGTCCAGTGTAGTGGTGCACACTAGTAACCCCATTCCTCAAGAAGCTGAGGCAGGAGGGTTGCTATGAATTTAAGGCCAGCCTGGCCTACCAAATTAATTCAAGTCCAGCCTAAAATACAGAGCAAAGCCACATAAATTCCAAACTGGAGACTGGGATTCTGTGCTCCCATGAAACCTTCTGTTTGTGCTCTTATGATAGAGCACATTTCTCTTGTCATATTATGTCACCCTTACCCTGGTAGTATCAAACACTAAATAATAATCTTCTTTCATACAAGAGTATGAGCCTACCTTTATACCCTGGTACTCAGATTGTGCTTTGACAGATAGAAATAATTAACTGGATACATGGTTGCTAGATGGATGGATAAATGAAACAAGATACTGGCTTTAATAGTGCAGTATGGGAAGGGCTAGCAAGACCCAGAAGCTATTAAAGTTTGTTTAAAAATAAAGGGAAGTGATGACAAATGTGATATTATTACAGTTTACCCATTTTACTTTGATTTAGTAAGACAACTTTTGCTTAAAATGTTAGTTTCTTCTTTGCCAGGGATACCCATCTCCCTGAGCAAATTTTAGCTGGACTTGGCTGGGTAGGGTGAAGTGGTTTCCTGAGCTCTGCTCATGTGATCTTTCAACAAACATTTACAGAGTGATTTTTTCAGGCCACTTTGTGCCACTGCACAGAAAATCATCTTTAAGTAGCAAATATGCTTCTGCTACAGCACTGAAGCAGGATCCCAGATCCTTCACCCATGAAGCATGAAACCCAAGAGATTACTCCCTTTGCCTGGCCAAATGCAGCCTTTCCACTGTGCTGACCCCTCTGATGCACTTTCTAGAGGGATCCATAGTTCTTTCCTTGCATTCTCATGGCTCTTCGGTCATGCCCTTCCTCCCCAGTTAGTGGCTTATGTCACTGTCCTTCCCCCATGGTAAACTCCATACTATACATTTGCAACCCCAGAGCCTTTCTCAAGGACCAGTGGCTGTGCTGTAAACACTTTCAGTGCGACAATTCATTTAAGACTAATAATACGTCATTTTAAATATAAGAAAGCAAAGCACAAAAAGTAAATTCACTTACCCAAGATAGCCAGCCAGTGGGTGGTGTGGAGCCTGGCTTTGAAGTTTGGTACCTTTTTCCAGAGTCCATTTCACTCTTTGACTGTGGATTTGTTTTATTCAGTCTTTTACCACACCATCTGCCATCTCCTGGCAAATTCTCCACAGAAGAATGGAACAAGAAATCTCTACAATGGAGGCAGTGAAGAATAATTCATCCTGTGCTGTCATCCCAACAGGGTATTCCATTCTTGTTATTGTAGCCTGTTCTTGTGCTTTTGTCTTAAGTCTCCTCATGGTACCCAGGGCTCCTTTTGGTAGCTTTTAAACTAATTTATCATTGTACATTTATTTGGGCAGTATCTCCTGATTGTCTAGTAGACCCATAACTCCAAGTGGACAGATGGACACCATTGGTTAATCATGTAGATAGCTCTACACTTGTCTCAGAGTAGATGCCCCATAAATACTTATGAAATTAATAAATAAGCTATCCTTGACTTCGTGGAGTGACTGCATTGTTTCACTGAAGCACCTCATGATTGCTTGTATGGGTAACAGCTCTCTTTCAACCACTGTTAAAGAGAAAAAGCTACCCATTCAATGAGCAAGGTGTTAAATAATGTACCTCAATAGGCCAGGACTTCAACAGAATATCACATCCTTCCTCAAGGTGCGTTCAGATTCCTGTGTTAACTAAAAAGGAACCTCATTCATTTACATTCCACCAAAGAAGGCTGTGTGAATATTTTATCTGACTGTGCTGAGGGAAAAAAAGTGTTTCCAAAGCCAGTGATTTACAACAACAAGCCAATAGTTTTTATTTTTCCTAGAGCAAAATGGTTTTGAGGAGGTTTAACACCTAAGTTGTGATCAGATGGAGGTTTCCAGTTTCCATTAAAACAGATCCAAATGGACTTCTAGTTAGAAGGTTTTTACTTTTTGTTTTTGTGAGGTACAAAGTGTGGGATAAACTTGAATACTATGCAGATAGTGCCTCTTAAAATCTTAATGCAATTGCAAATGTATTGCTTTTCCTGCTAAATGGCTTCCTTTTGCAAATCCCATTTGAACTGTCTTGACTCCCAGCTGCTTCAAAGCTGTTTGTTCTTGTTTTAGCTACCAGATAAATTATAAATTTAAAAAGCATGTCATCTTTCTGCAATCATTATATGGTTTTGGTTCCTCACCCAGGCAAACTCTCTCTTTCCTCCCCTACTCTACATTGCCTTAGCTTAAATGTGATATTTATTGTAATAAAATGATTTCTATTATTAACCTCAAAAAATAAAGATGCAACATTTAAAACAAAACTCATAAATGTAGGTTTTCATACAGCCTGAAGGCTCTTCAGGTAAATTACAGAATCTTATTGTCTAGGGATCAGTTTATCTTCTAAATACCCAGAGCCCCATTAGATACATAACACGTTTAATCTGTTCAGCAGAATGGCATCAGGGTGTGATGCCCAGGGCCTACTGCCTGTTAAGTATGATCTTTACAGCTCTCCACTTTGTTTCTCTGTTCTGATGAGTTTGGGAGAAGAGGAGAGAGTACTGGTGGCATCACAGACAATGATAAGGCTTCCGTGAATTTGTGCCACTCTTCTCATGGACACAGACTAACTGGTATCTCAGCACTGCTACTGACATAAAGCTGTAGTCCTAAGCAGGCCACTTCAACCCCTTGGATTCAATGATCTTATCTATAAAAGGGGAATAACATCATCATAACCTTCGGGATTTTATTCTCAATTTAAACCAACTGTGTCTTTTGTCATTTACAATAGATAGTATTTTACACTGTACTTGCCTACATAAAATCCAATGCTACACCTTGCAAAGATTCTAGATGCCTCACCACTTATGATCAGGCTTTTTCCAATTCACAGGGACACTCCTTAGAGCAGGGCTTTACTTGCCTACAACACACCTCAGAAAGAAGAACCTTAAAAACGAAGATCAGAGCTTTTAAAATAGGAACAATGAACCTCATGCAATAATGCTTTTATTCCACCAAAGGTGCTCATGCACCTGATTTAGAGTCACATTTATTTTGTTTATACTTTTCTGATTTTCTAATGCATGGGAAATGAAGTTTATTCTCCTGATTTGCTAACTAATGGGAGATTAGAAACAGAAAAGCAAAAGCCAGTGGGGGTGCTACCAATAACAACCCAGCACCAACAGTCAAGTGACTGCACAATGGCAGGTTTTCTTTTCCTTCCTTAGCCCTCAGCACCAAGATTCAAACACATTATGGTTTAATATAGATGCAAACATTCTCATCCACCTTTCAGTGGCCCTAAACGCATGAGTGGATTACAGCTCAGAGGACTGCAAATACATGCCATGCTTCTCATCACTCCCTCTGCTGTATCCAAATCAGACATCAAGATCAACCTTCACACTCTTTGAGTTGGTGCTCATACAGCCCATCCTTTCTGGGGCTCCAGAGTCCTTCACACACAATAGTCAGACACAGATTCCCAAACTTTTGGTTTTCATTCGTGAAGCAAAATCGCTTTGCTATCTTTGTGTTATGATGACTGTTTGAGAGGAACAGGATGTGGATGACCACATTAAGAGAGGTTTTCTCTAATGCTTGAGGACAGCAGCTACAAAAGATTGAACTTATTGAAAGATGACTAGAATTTTTTTGAAAATGAAAAGGCAGAAAACCTTCCATTAATTTGCTTTTCTTGTCCTGTAATCACTAGGGAGAGCAATATAGCAAATCAACCTGATGCAAGGACATTACCAATTTGGGGTGAAATCAAGACCTTCAGGCCACCACGCCCAGTGAAAGCCACAGGGAAGGAACACTTCCCCTGGAAAACATTGAAGCAGGATAGTATCCCATGTTTCAAAGTCTTACTGGGAGTTTTGGGGACATGACATAAAAGACAGCTCTGAGATTCAGCAGACCCTTACAAAACATTTTGAGAAATTAAGTCTGAGGATTTCAACTCAGATGTTTCTGATTTTCATAGAACTTACAAAGGTTTAGAAGTTAAAGGAAGAGGTGCTACATCAGATGAGTTGCCCAATTTTACTAAACTAGGCAATTTGAACAGAGCTTAATTTCCTTTCTCTGTGTTTAACTCAGAGGCCAGGGACTTCCTGACTCACTCATGAGCCTTGGTAATCAGCCACACAGGGACTGAGATGGGTTTTTAATGGTCTGCGTGCAGTGAAAAGACGCAGAATTCAATGCATAAGTCACTTGTGTGTGTTTAGTGGAGCTCAGTGGCTTCTCTCGTGTTTGCAGTGTCGGGGTGGGAGAGGTTAAGGTTTTCCCCACAAGTTAGTCTATTTCACCTTTCAATGGGATGAATTTGAAGCTGCCAAGAGAGACAAAGCATTGTGCTTCCTGGCACTGCCACATCTCAAGGGCACAGCATTCAGTGTTGTTTCTCGGGTTCACTTTGCTCCGATGCTCCTCCTTCATATTTATCCATTCATTTCAAAAATATATGACCATGTACAGTGTGACCTTGAGATACAGAAATGCATGGAATGGGCCCTTGGTAACAGGTGCTGTCAAATAATAGCAAAGAAAGACATAAATGGTGTGTGGAGGAAATGTTCGTTGTTTTGAGAAGACACAGGTGGGTCTTCTGACCCAGTGTGGGGTACTGGGATGGAGCCCAGATATCAGGAAATGCTTTGTGGGAGAAATAGTATGCAAGATGAATTTTGAAGGAGTTCACTAAATAATAGCTTGGCAAGAGGCACAATTAAACACTGAGGCTAAGAAAGTTTTACTAGGCAAGCAAAGCAGGTCAGATCATGTAATACTCTAGAGTGCCACGCAGAGGAAATAAAATGCAAATGCTTTGGATTCCCAGTGGCTGGAGAGGTCCATTCTATGAAGAACCTCTCAAGACTTCGAGATGAAGTAGGGCTAGAATGGAGGTCCAGGATGTAACACTGAGACAGGGGACCAATATATCTCAGTTCTCTCCAAGCCACTGCTCTATTTTCTTCTCAGCCCCTAGGACTGGCCTGGTTACTCTTCTGTTTTCCACCTGTGCAACCTGACCAGACTTGTCCCACTCCCCAAGCCAGCCGTCTTGCTGGCAAGAAGCCATGGCTCTGACTATGCAGGCTTTGAGTAAGGTGGCCTTGAGAGTAGTCATCCCTTCAGGCAGGTTTCTTCAGAAAATTTCTGGAAATACCACCAACAGCATTTTAATCTAGCTAAGATACAGCTCTCTGTGTCCTGTCTTTTGTAGTTTCTGCAGAATACTCTGTCTATAGTCCTTTAGGTCATCCAAAGGGTTCTCATTCTGTTTCATCTTCACCCAGGTTTAGCATTCCTTCACAGAAGAGAGCAGGAAAGGCTTCCTGCTTAGCCTCGTGTGTCCAGCAAAGGTCACCTGCCCTTCAGTGAGAGTCACTCCTCTGTGGACATGACATGCCATCACAGCTAATCGGTAGCCACTTAAATTGAGCCCTCTTAACCATGACCATTTTCAGATGAGGGAACTGAAGCACAATGAAATTAAGCACCTTAACCTATCATGACTTTTCATTACAACTAGTAAGTGAGGGTATGCAGCAAAATAAAGTTTTGTCAGAGATTGCGCCATGAGGAACAGGTGTACATTTTCCTTGCATGGTTCTTCCTTGAGATCCTGGCAAGATTTCAAACCTACATAACTGAAGATGCAGTGGATATCATTTGGGGATGAAGTCTTCTCAAAACCATTGACATATGCTGATTGTTCATGGCTAATTTCATACTGTGGGTCTCCTACGACAGTACTTTTCCTGACATCAGTGCCACTGAGGAACAGGGAGAGAAAGCTTCAGATGAGAATGAACGAAAGCCATGGACTTGGAAAGATGATGAAGTAGAATCTCAGGAACCGATGGGAGTAAGGTAGCTTGGAGTAGTGTGTGAGGAGAGAACAGGAGCTGTTCTAGTCAGCATGTGACTGCATAAGCCACCACTCACACTCAGCTCTCACATCCTTGATTTGTACAAATGAGTTCACAGCAAAGCCTGCCTCATGAGTCTGCAATGTCGATAAAACAAGATGATGCACAAAAATTTGGTTTCAGTCCACAGTGGGTTATCAGATAGCTTTTCAAGATTTCAGTTTCCTGTCCTGTATCAACATGCATGTCAAGCAAGAGTGTGGGACACAATACTCTTCACAGATCTCTTCCTCCAAGCTATTTTGTGATTTCCAGGCAAAACGAAATGGAACTGAGTTTCCACATAGAATCAGTGGGAACCAGGAGTGATTGGCTACCCTCCACAGCTTCAAGGCATTCTTTATAATGGATGATTCCATCACAGTGAACACAGCACACCAGAATCATGTAGTGTTTCCTATCATGAAGAGAAGCCACTGAAATCAGCCAGCACGGAACAATGCTCAAGCTTCTCTGAGTTTTCAGAGAGTTTCAAACTGCTTCTCTTGAAAAAACCATCCACAGGATTCAGGAAAGTATACTGCGTATGTCATTCCTTTTGTAGTCTCCCCAGTTGATGAGCTAGGAGAGGTCATGGGAGAGTTCTCAAGTGAGTTTTTGGTATAACTCATTCATTGCCAATCACAGGCAGTCTACTCCGTCCCTGGTACTGTGGGACACAGCAGTGACTCAGAGTTATCATCTCACCATTTAGAGAGCTTACAGTCTCCTGAGGAGGACAGACAGTTCCCTTCAGTGGGGGATGCACTCTGTTACTCCTGGGAAGAAGGCATGAAGAAACGACGAAGCAATGCTTTCTCCAAATTTCCAAGAAATGATTTTCAAGGATAAATAGACCAAAGGAAAGTAATATCATTCCAAAGAGATGGAACTCACAGATAAAACCTGAGAAGCAGGAGAAAGCTGAATAGCCACATCAGAGGAGTGAAGAAGTTCTTTGCTGCTAAAAGCCCCAGTGGTATGGGGTGACAGTAGAGACATAGAGAAAAGTAGGGGACTATGAAGGCAAATGAGGAGGCCAGGGAAAAGCAAGAAATGGGGTCAGGTCATAAGATCCTTCCAAATTATATTACAGAGCCCAGACTTTATCTTAAGGGCAGTGAGGAGCTACTTAAACATTTCAAAGATTATTGGTTACATTGCCCAGAAATTGTGGCAGATGGTTAGACTAAATGATCTTTAAATCCCCTGAGTATTTAAACTATCCCCAATAAATGCTTATGCATTCTCTTTCAAATGCTATCCTCAGAAATATGCTCTTTAATATTTAAAAAAAATAAGCTGTTTTATTTTTGCACCCTTTATCCACAGAATGGTATAAATTTAGCAAACTTTTCATTACTAATTAGTGATGTGGATGACTTCCTGCCTGGTGGGATGAAGGGTTCAATTGGGAAGAAAGTTGCATCAAGATGCAAAGGACATATAACTGTCTTACTCACACAATAAAAGATGATTGAAGATATATAAATGATTCATTGATTTGTGTACATAATTGATAAATTGAGTTTCAAAGTCAGATGTTCTAGATGTGTGACTAAGTTTCAACTTCTTTGTGTATAAAATTGGGATAATAATAGTATTTACTGTATAAGCAATTGAGAATATTTGGGAGATAGCATGGGAAAAAAATCTAACAACTAGCACAAAAAGAAATTTCTTAATTATTAGCTTTTAATTTTTGTTCTTATATTTAGATATTTTAAAATAAATTTAACGATATGCATTTTTTAGATTCATGTGCTGTGGGGTATATAGAAATAGTGAAATAGTTACTGAAGTGAAGCAGATTGACAGGTCTCTGTTCTCACACAGTTAATTTTGTGTATTTATGACCAGAACAGCTAAAACCTATGTATTTAACAAAAATCAGTAATACAATACAATTTTATTCACATTATTTTCATTCTAGTGGTAGTATCATGTTTCAGTCAAGTTGAAAATAGGAGTTATCAAGGATAACACTGAAGAACAGTCCCTACCATGACCCTACTTCGTTGTAGTAAAATCTCTGTTATGTGGACACTTCAGATTCAGAGTTTTAATAATTTGATTCAGTATGAAATTCTTTTCTGTATGGCACAGAAACCAGTTTGCTTTTCAGATGAATAATGGAAAGCCTAGTACTGGTAGAGATGATCAGGAGGTGGTAATGTTAAGATCTCTTTAAAATATTATATCTGTCAATCTATCCTCTCTCTCTTTCCCCTCCATTTATCATTACAAGCACTTTTCAAGACATGCATGTGATATGCTGATTATAAACATGACCATATTGACTTTTTCAATTATTTTCAAGTGTCATTTAAATTGATAGGACCTTGATAGTCATTTACTTTAAAGAATATGTCCAAAAGCAATTATATGACATTTTCTTTGGAGAATACTTTGTCCTTTTTACTTGGCACATCCTGTTTTCCCCTGACTTCCCCTATGTTACTCTTCATGAGAATTATTTTCCTGAATTCATAGAGGTCACCATTTATTTTTCTTATTCAGCAAATATTTATTGAATGCCTGATTTGTACTAGGAAATAGATTGGGTACTAGACATACAAGAATGAAAAAAAAAAAAGACAAGATAGATCCTTTGGTCTTAGAACTTACATTTTAATCATAAGTTTGGCTGATAATCTTTGGGAGCTGGTTAAAAATGTGTAGAGGTAGGTATATAAAAATAAATGCAATAAAATTTGTCACTGTTAAGACTGCTAAAATCATCACTTCTTTGATTAGTATACAAAATGACAAAATTTTAGACAATAACTTTTTAAGACAATGTTTTGTATGAGTTTAAGATTCTAAAATTACTGAAATGACTCAGGGTGTAGAGATCCGAATGTTTCCCCCATTATCAAATGATTCCACCCCACCCTGGAGCCACTGAGTTCCTCAGTGATTTGATACAAATATTAAGAAAAAATTAAGCACTCCTAGGCTATTGTAGAAATTTAAAATGGAGAGTATTTAAATCTAATATTTAAATCTACTCTCACCTTTAATGAACCTATTAATGGTTTTTGTCTGTAATGAAAAAGTTAAACTCCAAAATTCACCATTTCAGACCTCCACTGGAATCTGACCAGTAGCTTTTGTTCTTCCTGTCTTGTCTTTAATTCTGAAGGAATCCTGAAAACTCCAAGGACTTTTGATATAGAGAGAAAATGACACTGAAGCTATACCCTGTATCTCTGAGCATTGCCTCATTTTAGTGAGTTCTACCCAGCCTGGCTTGTTTTATTTCTCTCTGTCTCTGCCTCTGTCTCTGTCTGTCTCCGTTTCTGTCTCCGTTTCTCTCTCTCTCTCTCTCTCTCTCTCTCTCTCTCTCTCTCTCTCTCTCTTTCTCTCTCTCTCTCTGTCCTTTCTTCCTTTTAAAAATCCCATATGTCAGGTTCATGTATTATTCAGCCTATAGTTGCTGAATGTCTCTTAGATGCCAGACATTCATAGTTTTTTCTCTTTCTTCCCCTAGAAATACAGAATTCAATCTATAATTTCTCTAAGCCTAAGCACTCGTTGTTGGTCCTCCAACCAGTACCTGCCCCACTCACTTAGCGAAAGTAAGTTACCTTCCCCCAAAGCAGCCAGCTATACTGTTTCACTACTAACTAGCTGCGTGAGCACGAGGAGACTCACTGAAGAAATGCAGTGGCTTGTTCTATGGATTCGCTTTTCATCAAACTTGTAGCCATCATCTATCATTTCAAAACAACCTTACTTGTAGTGGTAAAATATGGTTCTTAATCTAGAAAAACTCCCACTGTATTATTTTTGAAAACCTCTTTCTAAATTTACATAATTTATTTAGAAGTGTAATTATTAGGAGAGCTCAAATCTTCTCCAACCTGATGCTATGATTGCTTAAACTGTGACTTTTTTTAACTTTTCAGCTGCTTGTAGCCACAGGACTCATCCATCCATCTGTCCACCATCCCACTGCAACACTGTAAACTAAACCTTGCTCTAAACCGTGGGTCCAAGACTGAGACCAAGGCAGTTCCTCCTCTCAAGGAATTTGCATTATATGATACACTAAGGGCCATAGATGTATCTCGTCAGCTGAACACTTTGGGTATATAATCTGAGCTTTAGACATTGACTTTTGTCTTTCAATCAGCTGTCATGACCTCAGAGAAATGTTCTTGCAGTAACTCTAGAGCATTATGTGGGTACCTCTGACCTGGCGTGTCATTTTGTCTTTATTACAGTTGTAATCACTCTGAAACATCGCATGGGGATACATCCTCAGTGGGTGCATGAAAAGCATTTGTAGAACTATGTTGAGTTTAAATTCGTTCGATCCCTATAACTATGTACTAGTGGTCTGAAATTTCAATAAATGACACCTGTTTAACTATTATATTTCAAGAAATATAGAAAAATAAGAAAAAAAGATGATAAAGTTCACAGATACCATCGATAATTCTGTTATAAATAGTCATTGGAGAATATGGCATATGGTAGGTATATAAAAAAAAATATATATATACCCTTCCAAGAACAAGTAGACTTGTTTGCCCAGTCACCAGCACTGCTGGACCATGCCATAGGACAGGTTTTGCTCCTTAAAAGAGAAGCAGAGGAGGAGAGCTCCCTGAACAACTCATATGCACAAAAGGGAGGAAGAAAGAAGCTTACCTCACCTGTACAGTTTCTCCTTCTAAGCAGTAAATCTCTGACAAGTTTCCGTTACTCTTCTTACTGCCCCACTTCCTCCAGGTGGGGTGAGGAGGCAGACAGACAGAATATTATCTTCTTAATGAAGACCCCTCCAACAGGGAGGAACCCTCAGAAGTCAAAGAAAAGATTCCCTGGCCACGCTCATCCTTGATTTGGATACATGCTCGGTACCTATTCCCTACCTTGTTCTTTATATTTGTCTTAGTTCACACCTGAGTCCTCCATCTAGGTAGTTTGAGTTATAAATTCTAAGAACACAGATCCTACTTCCTGGCCTGATTTCTCTTTCCTGGCCCTTATATATAGGCCCACTTTTTCCTTCCTGGATTATGTCTGTCTGACTTGGCTCCCAGCCTGTTAGGAACTTAATGTGATGAATGCACGTATTCATTATTTGGCAACTAAGACAGGTACTTGAGACAATGCTTGACACATTCAAGATATAGAAGTGATCATGTGAGAGATGGTTCTTTTCCTCCCAGAACTTCTGGACCGAGGCTAGAGAAGTATACCAGGTAATTATATGTCAACCCTGATACTTATTAAGGCAAAAAAAGCAATTCATCTGACATACTGCAAGATTTTCCCAGCACTGGCTATAGATACTGAATTTAGAAACTTTTCCACGGTGTTTAAATTGCCAATAAAATGGTTACTTACAATTTTTCTAATGACTATCTTAGTTTTTTATTCTTTTTAATTTTTCTATAACATTTATTTCTGATATAGAAGGGGAAAGAAAGGGAATGAAACTCTTCCAAAGTTCCATTCAGCCAAGAAAAAAAAAAAAAAATCAAACACATGCACTAGCAGTTTGCACAAACAAGAGGGAGTTTTCTGCGGTAATAAAACATATGCTTGACAAGTGATATTATCCACCAGTGAGATTTTGTTCATATCTCCATAGCCTAAAATTGCACAAATGATCACCCAGGTTATCAATCCATACATGCTCACCGTGGCCTGATGCTAACAGGAATTGCCTTATTGGATGGCTTCAAATCCCTCATCTCCAACAAATCCATCATCCTAAGTCCATACTCTAGTAGAACCAGGGGGAAACGCAGCGCTCCACTGTATTTTAACATGTTAAGTAGAGTGTGGACAGTATCAGCAGCATGACAGTTTGGGAATATGAGGAAAACATGTCATTTTGTAAGTGCAGTGCCTGGTTTTTCACACCATGTAGCACCTCCATAGCCCCAGTGCTTTGACATTTATCCTCTCAACTGAAGTCTCTTCCCTAGACACGGTCCTCAATTGGTGTCGCCAGTTCCCTTCATGCCCTGGCATCACTTGGTAACTGTAAGAAGTAGAAAATTTTGTTTTTGTTTTCTGAGAGATCATTAGGAGCCTCAGCCAATCACGATGGACGAAATCTGTGCCACCACTGTCCCCGCTGACCATACTGTGACCAGCTTCATCTTCGTCTCTGCTAAGCAGACTCTAACCTGCCAAGCACAGCAGGTCATGCCCCTCCGTCACTGTGTGTACATGTCCATGTACACAGTATGACTGGAAAACACCACACGTTTAAAATTTTAGAATTTATTAAAGTAGTAGATACGTTGCCATCAGTGCCCCTCAAAGTATTTTCCTTTGCTTTTTTATTTTAAAGAAAAAAAACAATAAAAACAACAACAAAAATTTCAAAACAAGACAATAGAGGAGTAACAATAGTTAATATATTGAATACTGTTATCTTCAAAGTAGTTACTCAGAGTCATTAAGATATAGGCATGAAAAATTGACCAAACAATATTAGCATAAACCTTTCTTTTCAATGAACTAAGAGAAATTAGTTGTATAACTATCTTAACTATCCTATATGTGTATATATATATATATATATATATATATATATATATATATATTTTCCTTTCCTTTATTTTTTTTTCCTTTCTCTCATCCTATTTTCTCCTTCCTTTTGAACAGTTTCTTCTCATTTCACAATAACGATTATATATTTTTGGATATTATTTACTCTTACAGCTTTTCACACGAGGGAGACAACATGATGTTTATATATGTGAGTTTGATTTATTTCACTTATGAGTATGGTCTCAAGTTGCATTCTTTTATCTATAAAAGTCTCAAGTTTACCTCTTCTTTATGGTTAAGTAGTACTTCATTGTATAAAAAAACCACATCTTTCTTATCCATTCCTCAGGTAACAGGCATTTAGGTCATTTCCAAGATTTAGCTATTACAAATTGTGCTGCTATGAACATGTGTCCTCATGTGTCACTGTAGCATGCTGTCTTTAATTCTTCTGGGATCTCCTTTCTTTGAACACATGTATCCTATCATTTTTGCCACAATCTGAAGCAGCTCTGGAAGTCCTCTTCTGTGAGTATCTTTAGTTGCCCTCTTGTAGCTGCCTCAATGTCCTGAATTGATTCAGATGTTCATCCTGAATGATCGTATAGACTGTGGGAAAGAGGCAGAAGTCACACAGTGCCAGACTCAGTAAATAAAGTGGATGAAGACACACTGTAACATTTTTACGAGGCTGCCTTTCCATTGGGTGCACTGGCCAGCAGCATTCATTGTATTTTTTATCACATGTTATAAAGACGTGGAAAAGGACTTTCAGGAAGTGGCCAGAAAGATGTGACAAGTGTATTCAAAGCAATGGGGAGTATCTTGAGGGAATTTAAGAGTAACGTTTTTTTTTGTTTGTTTTTTTGTGCTATAGTACATTTAATATTCAGCACATAGCTTAATCTTAGAGATGGATATCCATACATGTATGCACAGACATATCTATTTAAGAGTGACTTATTGAATGCTGGTTGCTCTAGCAAATTGTATGAACATGATTGTGCATTGAGCTGCTATGACTCCTGTTCTCAAGGAACCCACATGTAGAGATGTAGACAATTTAAATAAAGCAAGGGATTTCTCGAATCTGGTTATGTGAACACACATCATATGGGAATATTCGTTAAAATCATCAGGCTGAGATCTTATCCCTATCCTATTGAATCAGGTGCTACTGAAGGTGTGGCTTGAGGATCTTCACCTTAACCATGTCCCAGGTGTAGACCAAGGTGAGAACCACTGCAATGTGATAAATAGTGTAGAAGAATTCACCAGAGTAGCAGCTAATCAGTTTGGCCTGCAAATCAGTGAAGTTAATTTGGAGGAAGTAGTTCCCAAATTAGGCACTCAAGGAGAGAAGGAATTACATATAAAAAAGTAAAGAAGAGCAACCAAAAGAATATTCAGTAGAGAAAAGCCAGAAGGACCGTGGGGGAGATTTTTCACAGCCACTTCTTCCTCCCCTCTAAGGAAAGGGCTCCAGTGACCAGGGTAACCCTTCCTTCTTTTGTAATGCTCCCATTTAATGGAGGAAAAGGTTTTCCTAGGGATCTTTGCAGCTCAATCAGCTGCATATATTTGTTTCACTTTCTTTCCTGTGGCTACTTCTCTCTGATAATGACCACAATACAGAAACTTAAATAGCTGTTTGGACACTTTGGAGGACTCAAACCTCAGATCTATAACTGCCCATGTGTAACTCTTATGAACACTGAATCCCTGGTCTCATCACGTGCCTGGTTCACTCTACCCAGCGGATTGGGCGATTTCTCATTTCCTGCAGGGAACCAAGTTCCATCCTGAGAGAGTAAAATCAACACCTACTCACTGATAGTCCCTTTCGCAACTGTGTGTAACCACTTCTTAATTTTATGTTTGTTCATGGTCCAGCTTACTGAGGTCAGTTAAAGTCAGAAGAAGATGTCAGCTTGATTTAGTAAAATTGGAGTCTTTGTCTGCCTTGGGTTTATCTCCTTGAGCTGAGCCGTCATTTGAATTTTATGTTTTTGTCCTTTTTTTCTGAACATTTCTTTTTCCCAGGGAGGGTTTTCAGTGCTGCGTTCATCCTATCTGTTTGCAAGGAAGGTGCTTGTTTCTATAAAGTTCCTGTCCCGTCGGATCTCCATCATCTTTATGGTCTTGCATGCTGTCACTGTGGCTCATGTCTAGCTGTGGTTTGTTATGTTTTGACAGGAGTTTATTATAAAGCTGAGGATCATGTCTGGCTTTGCCTTTCAAACTTTCTTCTTTACGGTAGCCATAAACCTGCACTGCTAAAATGTTCTCTCTAAGGAGAAAGGGAAATTCTGATAACAAAAGCCTTGGAGGATAGGAAAAAGGATGGGGAAAGGGAAACAGAAGGAAGCAGGGAAATGGAAAATTTTGAAAAGCTGTTATTAAAGTAGCAAGGAGAATACTAGCCATCATTCAAGTGCAACTACAAAAACAGTTACCAAGAGTTTCCAAAGATTTGAGAAAAATAAGAACAGACAGGTGGAAGAAAAGAACCTACATGACTCTACCATGACATTTTTAATCTTTGGAATCCTGGGTGAGTTGACAACTACAGACACATGAGTAAAGTTATACTGAGTTCGACTCAAAAAGAAGAAGCAAGGTGGGGTACATCCACTGCTTTCTCAGTATCCTCTGAAGCAGCCATCTTGAAAGTCCATTAATAAAAATCCTTAAAATCATCTTGAGTTTTTCTGTGGAAGAAAGAATGTAGATTAGGTTTACAGAATATCTGTTTACAGGGTTACTGTATCCTGTAAAGCCTGTTTACAGGGTAACTGTATTTCGGTCTGGGTTCCTTCCTTGTGTAAGCTGCTACTGAGTACTTGGGGTATGTAACACCCTAACTGTGCATCCTTAGCTGACACTGTTGGTTGAGGGCTGTTACATACTGGAAATATGACTAGCTGCTTTCCATCCTTTGTCCATTTTAAGTAATTCTTAAAGTCATCAGAAAAAAAGTAATGCAATAGTGGCTTCTTATCTATGATTTCAGTTACCTACAGCCAAAGGTAGTCTGAAATATTAAGTGGAAAATCTCAGAAATAAACTATTCATAAATTTTAGATTGCACATTTCTCTGAATAGGAAGAGAAAATCACATCTATCCCACCCTGAGCCAGCCAGATTCATGAATCATCTCTTTGTTTAGTGTAACCACACAGTATATACTATCTACCCATTAGTTACCTAGTAACAGTCCAGGTTATTAGATTGACTATCATAGTGCTCCTATTTAGGTATCTTGCATAACAGTCTGATTCTATATCATCACACACATAACTTTCACCTCACTTGATCTTATCACATGGGCACTGTATCATCTCACATGATCACAAGAATGGTTAGTACAGTACTGTAAGATATTTTGAAAGAAACCACATTCACATAACTTTTATTATAATGTTGCTATAATTGTTATATTTTATTATTTACTATTTTAACCTTTTATTATGTCTAATTTAAAAATTAAATTTTATTACAAATATTTATAGGTAGAAAAAATATATGTAGAGTTTGGTGCTATCCATGGCACCGTGCACTGGGTGGTGGGTGGTCTTGGAGTGTATCCCTATGGAATAGGAAGGATTGCTGTACTCTAAACATCTCTAGAAGGTTGATACTTTTCTCCTCCCCATTGATCTGATGAGGCCAGAGTGATTCAGTTACCTGACCAGGATCCCACAGTGCTGCGTAGCAAAGTTGAAAATCAATTTCAGGCAAGGTGGTTCCACATTCTTGATCCCAGTCTTGGTAAAAGGCTGGACTGGATGAGGCCTCGGCAAAGGAAGTCCAGGAGGGCTCATAGCAGCTCTTAACAACAGCAGAGGAGAGAGAAAAGGGAGCAGCAAGGAGCCAGGGCTCTGCCATCCTGATGCAACAGCTCTGCTGTTTGCTTCTGTGACGCAGCAGTGCTCCCTGCTCCTCCTCTCCTAATCGGGAGGTCCCTTTCCTCTTAG